ACACACACACACACACACACACACACACACACACACACACACACAGTCAGAAAGAAGGGACAAGGGTTTTGAAGTGTTTGCCTGCCTCAGGGATCCTTTTTAAACAGGTATTCAGTTTGGTCTGCAAATGACAAAGTTCTCCTTGTGGAAGTGATATTGGAAGTCCACAATTGAAGCCTCGGGGGGCAAAGGAAGGAATAACAGCATGTTAAGAAATTAGACAGACAACATGGCTACAACCACACTCATTAACAAATGCCAGTTTAAAGTAGTGCTCTCCTTGATTCCTGCTCACGCCACCTCCGCTGCATTTTAGTTTGGCATAGACATAGTAGTGCTCAGGCTGATGAAATAAATCCCCCAGCTGTTTTAATGGATATGCATATGATACAAAATTAATAAATACCAATGAGTTGCTTTATCAAACAAACTCTGGACTCAGAAGATGGATGGAACCAGCTGCAGAGGATTCCACCACATCTCATAATACTCTCCCTTTATTCATAAGCATGTCCAGAGTCAGAATCCGTGTGAAGAATTCCCATGTGGGGAGGTAAGAATGCTGACGTGAGAACCTCTTTGCACAAACATAGAGCAAAAAGGCAGTCCCTGTCACAAAGACTTTACAGTATAAGACAACTGACAGCACACTGATACAGTCTTGATATAGGAGCCCTAGGCCACCATGAGACATAATTCTTTACAAATGCCACTCCTTGAGGGAAAGCTCTCTCATTGAAGAGTGCTTTATATTCCGAACTTAACATATTCAGGCTTGGGCTCCATTTTGTCTCTCCTGGCAAGGAGTTCCACAGTCAGGTCCTGTCATGGAGAACTGTTACGCAGCCTCAAAGCCTAACCCTACACCTCTCCAGCTTCATAATCCTTGCAGAGTGTAGAAGGAGGGCCATGGAGAATAAGGAGGTATCCATGGTAGCCAGGACCCATACCATTATCAGCTTCAAGAAGTGAAAACAGGACTTGGTGTAGAGGTTAAAAATGGACAGAGCACCAGTGAACTTTGCAAAACGCAGGTAAGATGTTTTTCTATCAGCATTTTTAACTTTTGAGGCATGCATACATACTAGACAAACTTCAGTCTTGCTGTGACATTTCTATTCAATATCAGATAAAGAGAGTTACAGCAGATGAATTTTCAGGTGAAAATAAACTTTCTGGCTTTTCAGTGAAAACAAACATTTCTCGCTACTGCAGCAAACTGCAAGTTCAGGAGTCCAATCTGACCCAGAGGCTTCGCACTAGCTTGAGAGTCTATTTTCTTCACCACATGTTTTAGCAAGTTCTATGTCTTCCCTTTCCCATCCGCATCACTTATGTGTTTCTTGGTCTGAAGTTTGAATCACCTGCTTTCTACCCATCAAGACAGCTCTTCCAGACAGTGTTCCATCTCAGGATATGTCTACATGACAAATTAGGGGTGTGATCCACAACTTTCTATCCATGAAGACAGCTCTTCCAGACAGTGTTCTATCTCAGGATATGTCTACATGACAAATTAGGGGTGTGATCCACAGCCTGTGGGAGCCAGCATGCGAGAAAAGGTAGTATGGCCACAGCAGCACAGACAGCAACAGAATGCACTAGCCAGCTCAAGTACATACCCATGGAGTTCAGGTGGGGTTGTATTTGAGGCAGCTAGTTCATGCTGCCATTCTGTGCACTATACTACTATTTTTAGCTTTCTAGCTCAATGAGAGCTGGTGCAGGTATGTCTACATGAGGTACAACTCACACCCGTAGCTTACAGTGTCACTGTAGTCTTAGTGAGGATAGAGGCTATATCAGTGAGAAGGGAAACATTCAATTGGCTATCATGCACAGATTGGTTCATACAAATCCATGGTATTTCATAATCTGACTAGTCTCATGTGGATGCTTTACTTGAGTTCAATAGGTACCTTTAAAAGGCACTTGTCAAAGCTGATTATGGCAATACATGACCAACCTTCCTATTTAAAACTAAAGGAGTGAATACACTCCATTGAATTCTTCTTTAGGACTAAACCTGAAACAAAGTACCAGAAACCCTACAATACCAAACCTGTGTAAATATACCAAGCCTGAAAAAATATGAGTGAATGTTTCACATTTAAGTTCCCAAGGGACTAGTATAAGAACTAAGGAGAAACAGATACTTTCAAAATTCTTCCTTCCACACCAAGAGAGTTATTTTAAATCACATAGGGCAGATTCTCTGCTGTGCTCAGTTTTTGCTGAATGCCAGGATAGGGGGGCAGTCAGTCGGTTATAGTGCACTGATTTTCTGCTTTAGCCCCTGCACAACTTATAGCACCCTTGCAACAATGTCTCCTACTTGTGCTGTAGCCACTCTGCCCCCGACCCTAAGATGTACTATAAGGAGGAATAGTAATAGAGATGTAGCCGTGTTAGTCTGGTCTTGCTGAAACAAAAGACAGGACTATGCAGCACTTTAAAGACTAACAAGATGGTTTATTAGGTGATGAGCATAGTCCTGTCTTTTGTTTTATAAGGAGGAAGACAGAAGCAAAGCAGCCAGCTTTCCTGGCTCTACTTTTGCTGGTGTCAGTTCTGTAAATAGGTATGCACAACAGAGAAACCAATATCACAACTGGCACCTTGGCAGTCTCCAGAGAAAGGTCAAGGACTGAACTGCCTGCTACAGTCCCCTGAATCAGGGGTCAGGTATGCTGGCAAGGCAGTCAGTGGAAGCTTGGACTGTGTTGTGCTTCACCTGTTCTGTGGATGGTGGACTGGACTCTCCTAGGCTGTTTATCCAGCAGTTTACAGAAACATCCAATTTACATGGATATGTAAGTAAAGATAAACTGAGCTATACCTGCTGGTATCTGCACCAATCTAACCACTGGAATTGGTGGATACTGACTCTTTCCATGTGAAACCAGTACCATCTTGTGTAATCCTTGCCCATGCAATCTGATTGAGAGCATGGAAAAGACCAGATTCTTATCAGCAATCCTGTATGTGCCACCTTTGAGAAGATGTACACGTAGGCTACGTCTAGACTGCATTCCTTTGTCAACAGAGGGATGCAAATCAAGCACATCGAAATTGCTAATGAAGCCGGGATTTAAATATCTCGTGACTCATTAGCATGGCCACTGCTTTTTTCCGAAATGGAGTTTGTTCTAGACCAGCAATCTAGATGTGGATCTGTCGAAAATAAAGCCTTTTTCAACAGATCCTGTATTCCTCAGAAAAAGAAGTTTACAGGATCTGTTGAAAAAGGCTTTATTTTTGACAGATCTGCGTCTAGACTGCCGGGGTTTTTTTAGAAAAAACTCTTTTTAGAAAAAAAGCGGCAGTCATGTTTATGCTAATGAGGCACGGGATATTTAAATCCTAGCTTCATTAGCATTTTCGATGTGTCTAATCTACATCCCTCTGTCGACCGAGAAGTATAGTCTAGACACACCCATAAAAGAGGTGTAGTATGCTAGATCTGTCTTGCACTCCTGGGGGAAATGGTGGGTATTGCTTCTGATCTGACTGGAGTGGAGATTTGCTCTGCCACAAGAGGTAATAACATGCAATACAATATTGTAGCTCTTAATGCATTTTCAGGGGGAATAAATGAGTGAACTGGTAATAAAGCGTCACTGAGACTGCCTTGCACTCCCTTACGTTTGACTATCCATTCTCATCAAAATGGCTGCTTTTACCAATAGAATAAGAAACTCCAATTTCATCTGTAGCTCTTATTTTCAACTGCATTTCTCAATGTAGGCAGAGCGAGAAACGATTCTGGGCAGCAGCTTGTACTTATGAAATGAGTATATTATATTTTCTTGTTGAGCACACATCTGTGTGCTGGCTAATCTCCATTTCACTCTTAAGAAAATACACCAAAGCCAGCATTTACCCTGAATAAAGTCTTTTCACAGTGCCTGAGCTTCCCCTGCTGATGTTATCCACATGGGATGTTGGCAGGGGTCCTTCAGCCCTTTCCTTGGCAGGAATTGAGGGTAGGTATTTTCCAACCTGTGTCATTTGTTAGCTGAGCAACAAATACACTTTTGTAGCCAGCAGAGCTGTGCCACATTTACTAAGAAACCTGAAACTATGTGAAACTCTCCTGGCTTCAGGTTTCAGCGCAAACTCAGAACTCAGCCCATGGCTGCCAAAAGGGTCACCTGTTGTTCTCACCACAAACACATTCACTACAACCACTAAGAAGCGGTGGCTTCAAGGCCCCGTACCCCAAAGGGTTAAATATTGTTGCATGGCTTGGCTCAGGGACACCCTGCCAATGCAGCTCCCAAATGCTGGTGGCTGAGGAGAACACGCACACTTTGTAGGGAAGCTGGCTGCTGCTCAGTTGCATCTGGGAAAGTTCCACTGACACCAAGGTATAAAGCATTTGCGCAGGTCCAAACCAAGTCTGAAACTGCTCTGCCGCACTGTCACCAATCTAAGAGACTTAACTAAGAATAAATGTCCTAAAATGACCTCTCAAAGAGAAGCTACCCAGAGATTCTACCTGCTTTAATTCGCTTCATCCCATCCATTGTGTTGGGCATGGCAGTCGCTGTTGAGAAAAACTCATGCCCTTGGCATATTTGTTGCATTCTAGCAACCTGTCAGTGTGAGAAGAGCCCCAGAGATTGCACTCACAGACTTTAGGTATAATGCCTGGTACTTGAGATGAGTTTTTTAAAAGTTGCCACTAGGAAAAAGTTGGGAAGAAGAAAAGAATATGAGTGTATTTTATACTGGTGTTCATGATGGGGAACTTTAGGTATAATGCCTGGTACTGGAGATGAGTTTTTTAAAAGTTGCCACCAGGAAAAAGTTGGGAAGAAAAAAAGAATATGAGTGTATTTTATACTGGTAAGGAAATACATTTCAAGTGCTGACATTCTGCCTCAGTGTATCCTGTATGCATCTATGCTCCGGATCTTCAAATAAACCCAGGTATTGTTTTACTGTCTCATGAGTTTTAGGCTGGAAGCATTTCTTCAGAAACATAGGTTACTTACCTCCTGAGACATCAGAATCTTTTCCAAATGATCCTGATCCCGGTAGAACATTTGTTCTTGGTGTATCTTTTCCAACCATGCCTTCTTTTGCTCCCATTGATGGTACACATTATTCTTTTCTTCCGATAAAGCCTGCAACTTTTGCTGGATCTGGAGGTGACACACAAAGAAAAACCCATCTTAATTATTGGAGCCCATGGGACTAGGGGAAGGCAGGTAAGAGGAAAATAGAGCTGGGAGTGACCTCTTCAATGACACTTTGGCCAAAGTTATCAAACAGAGGAGAGCAGGAATAAATGCTAGCACTTTTATATAAGCACAAAGAGAAGCTGAGGGGTGTCCGATTTCTCATGTGGAGGAGTCTTGTGACAGTGTATGTCTGTATATATATGTAGGAACCCACGCCAAGCATAAAGCAATAGTAACTGTTTCTTAGGCTCCTTCTGCAGAACTTATTCTCTGGTATCCATGACTACCATAGCAGGCACAGAAAGTACCACTGAAAGTCTAGAAGACAGAGACTTGAATGAGTTGTCATCACCAGGGCGGTGTGCCATAAAGCAGGATGTAGGAACACAGGGCGCATCAGTGTTGAAATACATGGCATTCCAATTGCCAAAACTATTGGTGTACACAGGCCTCCCATTATCAACATTAACTTCTTAATCTTTGAACTGTACTTACATGTTCAAGGCTGTTCACAGGCTGGGAATTGGTAAGATTATCAATTATGGTTATGGTAGGTGCACATTGCAATATTTAATAAGCACTCAGAGATAGGCTGGTCAGAGGAGAAAGCACAGAACATTTTATTAACTACAAGAACTCTGCTCAGGCTTCTGGAAACTTCAAAACCAGATGTGATGGTATATAAGTTGCGCTAAGCAAAGTTCAGAGGAGGTGTGGGGTTCTGTGTTTAAGAGTCATCTGACCTGGACACAACGGCTGTGTCTACACTGGGCCACTTATTCTGGAAAAGCAGCCGCTTTTCCGGAATAAGCTGTGAGCTGTCTACACTGTCCGCTTGCTTTTCTGGAAAAGCAATGATGATCTAATGTAAAATCATCATTGTTTTTCCGGAAAAACTATGCTGCTCCCGTTCGGGCAAAAGTTCTTTTCCGAAAAAACTGTTCCGGAATAGGGCCAGTCTAGACAGCACAGATTTCTTTTCTGCAAAAAAGCCCCAATCGTGAAAATGATGATCGGGGCTTTTTTGCATAAAAGCGCGTCTACATTGGCACGGACGCTTTTTCGGAAAAGCATCCTGCCAATGTAGACGCGCTTTTCCGGAAATACTTATAATGGAAAAACTGTTCCGTTTTAAGCATTTCCGGAAAAGGGTGCCAGTGTAGACGTAGCCAACTTGTGCTTCAATCCAGTCCTGTACATAAGCTGCTAGACCCTCACTAGCTACAAATCAATCATTCACAAGGAGCTGAACAACAGGTTGATGTCTTGCCTGGCTGCAGCACAACATGTTTTAGCTCTGAGCCATTATGATTTGTCCCTGTTTCTTGCTTGTTGTAAATGGATTTGGTTGAAGACTATCAAACCTCAAGCAGATCTGAGGACAATCACATTAGAGCTGTGATTTGTGCTATCCCTTTAGTTTTTAGCATTGTCCCTTGCCAGGTCTTGCATACAAGGTTTTATTTTGAGACAATGTATTTTATTGCAGTGGTAGTTAATATTTTAACAAGTGTCTTATTACAACTTCAGTTATGAAGGTTTAGCAGAATTTCCCCTGGTACATAATGGGCTGCGGTTTCACTGAAGAGAATGTTAATTTTTTTATAAGATTGTGTGTATAAATGATTAAAATGTTTTGTTCTCCCACAATTGAATGGAGAGCAGGCAGTTTGCCTACATCCTTTCCAAAAGATATGCTAGATCCGTGGTGTCCAACACGTTAGCCACTAGCCAAATGTGGCTATTTGGCTGATTGAGTGTGGCTAGTTGGCTTGAATAATGTGGCTATTTGGTTGTTGAGTGTGGCTAGTTCGCTGTAGCAGAACAGGTTGGACACCACAGTGTTTGAGTTCATTTTGTTGGTGATTATTGGGTTGTAAGAATGCAAGGTATACTGGAATACTCTCCATCATGAGAAACAGATGGTTGCATGGACATTTTAGAGGATGCTTGGTCCTGGCATCCCAAAATTCTGCTTCCCATCTTCTGTATTTTGAGGTGTATCTATTTCAGCATCATTTAAGGGTTCATAAAGTTTGTGTCATTATTTTAGATTTTTGTATGTGTTTGAGTCTTTTTGGTTCATTCATCTGGTCTGGTGTAGTATGGAGGTACTGCCATAACTAGAAAGCAAGAACTTGTAAAAAATCCAATTTGGAAAGTAAGTAGCATTAAATCAATTGCTTAAAAGATTCTAAACCTCTTAGTGATAGAAAACTGCACTTGAAAGGGAATCCTCTGAACTGTTATTCATGCTAAAATTCGACACTTTATGCCGGGGTCTTAACAAAGACTCTAGTTATCTTACCCATTACAAAGATAGCTTCCCCAATTATCACCTCTAATATCATTAGCTCACAGACATTTACCTCTCCTCCCCCCCCCGCATCCCTCTTCTGTTCTGAAATTTGATTTGTCCTTTTCATGTGTTCATTTTTTTTTATTGTATCCTTTGGTATATATGGTTGTGACTATTTTCTTCCACTGTTTGATCTGAGGAAGTGGGTCTGGTGCACGAAAGCTCATCATCTAATAAACCAACTTGTTAATCTTTAAAGTGCAGATATGGATGCAGATATGTTTAAACCTCTTAGGTAACCCAAACTCAGTGTTGTCAAGTATTTGTATGATTCCTTCATGGCTCCAGATTCAGGTCTGAAGTAATCTGAAAGAACATTCATGTGTGTCCAAGGCAGATCTTATATTGAGTTAGGTGTGGATCGTGACGTGTGTTTGTGTGTGTGTTTATGTAACAAAGCCCAACTTGTGTCCAGAATGGTATCTGTGACTGTATGTGACACTTCTGCGTGTGACTGTGAACCCAAAAAGGCTATCAAATGGTTTCTGTTTACCTCTTTTGATGATATTTTCTCATCCTGCAGTAGCAACTGTCCTAGCTGTGCCACCCGATTGTATGTCTCCTCTCGAGCCTCGATTTCTGCCAACAGCTGCTGATGTTGGGTAAGCCTCAGACTGCTATTGGATATATCCCGGATTGTCTCCTTAGTCTTCATTTCCCTCATCATCTCTGTTGTCCAGGAGAAATAATCCCACACCTGTAACTCAAGAAAAAGTCCAGGGTCAGGTTAGTCTCAGGCTTAGGTTGTCAGACTGTTACCTCAGTGCTTAACTCTTCACTTCTCATAAGAGACAATGCAGCCATAGGGAACAAGGATAATATTCCATTAAGCCTTGTAATATTATTATGGATAAAGCCCACGAATCTGTACATATCCACTTTATAACCACGGGTATCCAGATCTGCAGATGTTGCGACAGATATCCATGGCTCATTTTTGTGAATACAGATATGGATGCAGATACAAATTTTGTATCCGTACAGGACTTTAATTGTGAACCTAAACAGGGGAGTATTATAAGCTCAGAGGAATATCCACTGTCAGTATTTTAAAAAAAACCCACAGATCTTTTGTCGTAACATCAGAACTACAACAACATTGTGTATTGTTCCATCAGCAATAACAAGATGATTTCTGTTGTCCTTTTATCTATGGGTACTTCTAAACTACATGGCTCCGTCGACGGAGCCATGTAGATTTGTTGTTTTGGCAAAGGTAAATGAAGCCGCGATTTAAATGATCGCGGCTTCATTTACATTTACATGGCTGCTGCGCTGAGCCGACAAACAGCTGATCAGCTGTTTGTCGGCTCAGCGCAGCAGCCATGTAAATGTAAATGAAGCCGCGATCATTTAAATCGCGGCTTCATTTACCTTTGCCAAAACAACAAATCTACATGGCTCCGTCGACGGAGCCATGTAGTTTAGAAGTACCCATAGATAAAAGGACAACAGAAATCATCTTGTTATTGCTGATGGAACAATACACAATGTTGTTGTAGTTCTGATGTTACGACAAAAGATCTGTGGGTTTTTTTTAAAATACTGACAGTGGATATTCCTCTGAGCTTATAATACTCCCCTGTTGAGGTTCACAATTAAAGTCCTGTACGGATACAAAATTTGTATCTGCATCCATAAGATTAAGAGATTAGCAAAAAAATATATAGTCTCCTTTGCCACCTGCACATTGATGTCAAATTGTGCCAGTTGCCCTACGCCACATCTACCCTCACATATTTCTGCATATTAACACACCTCTTGCACAGCATTTTCCCATCTACTAATACACACACTCACAGCTTTGAGCTCTTATACATTTAGCAAATGTACGCACAAACACCTGTCTGCACTCACATTCTATCACGTAAAGCTGTGTGCCAAACACACATGCTCATGCTCACATAACAAGTCAGATTTCTTTGTGCATTGAGAGGCAGAACACAGAAGGCCAGAGTGCTCACATCTGCTTGAAATTGGTAAAGCTTGCAGGCCCGTTCCAAATGTTCCTTGCGCTGCTCCACTTTAGTCTTCAGGGATCCCCAGTTCTCCACTATTGCTTGCTGCTTCGCTTGCAGGTCTGCCACCTGTCCCTCAGAACACCGGGCCAGCACGTCATCTGCAGCATCGACCAGCTCCTGCAGCTGCAGAGAGGAGAAAGTCATCAGACAGGCTAAGAAGGAAAAAGTCCCGGAGGGCCAGTTGGCATCACAGAACTGATATCAAGATATATATTAACTGCACAGGGCATTGGAATTCACATTACACACTTCAGAACAAAAGTTTGCTCCTGTGCCTGTTATAGTCACATGGAGTAACAGTGACCCCCAGTGCCTGCTGAGGTTCACCACTGCAGTGCACACTTCTCATTAGCTATTTCACAGCCACAGCTCCTCTTTTCACTATCCAGTGTGTAAAGACAGGAGTCTGTCTAGGACAGGGGTCACCAACCTTTTGAAGCACAAGATCACTTTTTGAATATAGGTGCAATCCAGACCCAAATACCCTGGCCCCGCCTCCTTCGTGCCCCTTATCCAAACCCCCATCCCCACTCACGCCATCCTCTCTCCCTTCCTCCCCCAACCTCTGTCACTTTCACTAGACTGTGGCAGAAAGTTGGGGTGCAGGCTCTGGTCTTGGGCTAAGGGATTTGGAGTGTGAGAGGGGCTCTGAGCTGAGCCTGGAGCAGGGAGTTGGGGTGCAGGAGAGGGTTCATGATGGGGGCAGGAGATTGGAGCTGGCTCCAGATGGCCATTGCTTACCTCAGGTGGCTCCTGGGTGGTGGTGCAGTGGGTCTAAGGCAGGCTCACCCCTACCCTGGCCCTGCACCACACCCACAAGCAGCCAGCAAACTCCCCCCATCCCAAGCCCTGTTATTCCCCTCACTCCCATTCTGTGGCAATAGGATACAGGATGGAAGAGGGGGCACCCTGACATCAACATCCCCCTCCCTTCCCTGTCTTGTACCCCAAACAGGAGGCTCCTGGCGGGGATGACAGACGTGGGGGGGGGGGGGGAGAGGAGGGCAGCTGAAGTGCTGCGCTTGACAGCCTCTTGGCCAAACCAGTCAGGATCCCCTGTCAGAGGCTCCAAGACCTACCAGTAGATCCCAATTGACTGGTTGGTGACCACTGGTCTAGGAAACATGAATCTGGATATCCCAGGAAAATATATGTCCCTATCTAGTTTCTTATAGGGGCAGTTTAGATTAGTCACAGATAAGTTCTCTGTGGATATGTCTTGCCTCAATTCCCCTTAAAGGTAACACACAGCTGATTAGGTTAATTCCAAGGGCTAGCTGTCAGACTGTTGCCCTTTCAATTGCATGCTGCTTTAGTAGTTTCAGGGTAACATACTGCCAGTCCTCTGACACTGCATTTATTAAACTAGGTTACCGAGAGGCAAACTGCATGAATTTCATTTTTACAGCCAGGGTCAAGCACGTCTCTTTGGACAAAAGAGGATTCTGTCTGAAAAACGGCGTTTTTCATGAGCTGGGCTTTTAAAAAGGTTTGTGCCACAAGCCCCAGCCTTGTATTCCCACTTAGCCCACCTCTCTCCACCCTCCTAACATCTGTCCCAGGGAACTCCTACGTCCTTTTCCTCTTCCACACCTCCTGTAAGCAGCTGATAAATCCTTTGAAGGGTACAGCAATGGAAAAAGCACCCCACTATTCATAGTGAAGAACAACGGGTTGCTTTTGACAGGAGGAGAAGCATGGTCTAAGCGTCCATTTTGAACCAACTCTCTGACCCATGTCACAGTCAGCACTAATTATAAAGCCTCTCTTGTGCTTAATGTTTTCAACACCCACTTCATACCTATCACCGAGAGTCACAAGGCTTTAAAAGAAAGAGCAGACTTTGAGGGAGACCATTGGCCTTTGCCAGTCTCTGACAGACAAGTAATTGTAGAACATTGTTGCTGGAGCTGGTGGGACTTCTGGCCGTTGGCTGCACATTGAAGCATGAGAGTGAGAGATCTCACCTGCTGCTCATTCCCGAAGAGCTCATGTTCAAGGGCCGCATGTTTGCGTAGCTGGGACTGCACGCCACGCATGTCCTTAGCAATGTCATCAGGGATGCTCTTGGATTTCTCCTGGCAAGGAAGGAGTTAATGAGAGCTTTGTCAATAAACACCCCAAGGCAGAAACATTAAATCTTCACTTCTGAAAGCCTTAATCACATTACAGAGGAGCTTTCTTAGGCTGCAAGTAACAACTGCTCAATGAGGCTGCCCAAAGATATTACTCAAATCATATCAGAGCTGGCAGAATCTGGCCCTAAGACACATGGAATCTGAATGTAACCTACTGGCAGCGTGTTATAGCTCTTTCTAATGGATAATAGCCTACTACTGCTACGCTTCATGGAGCAACTTAAGCTGAAATTGTAGAGGACAAATGCACATGCTACTGAAGACCAAT